TGTTATGTTGTATTACAATGTGTAATGTTATGTTTTACATTATAGAACACATTATAACACAAATAACAGAACAAAATATTGCATGACAATATAGTAGGTAGATCATAGCACAACACATTGTAGCCCATTATAACACCATATATGATAATATTACACAACACATAATAACATAAAATAACACAGCACATTGTAACACAATATAACAAAACCCAATACATCATCAGACTACATAACACAACAGAAAAATTATGGCAGCATAACATAGCACAACACATTCTAACACATCATAGCATACCATAAGACATAAAACATAATACAACATGTCACAACACGAAGCAATACAACACACATAACAAAAATTATAATGAATCATAACATAGCACAGTATAACAAAATGAAATAACACATCATAAGATGACACAGTCTAACAGCATAACACATACCTATAACATAGCAAAGTATATCAACATAACATAATACATCATAAGATAGCACAGTATAGCAAAATAATATAACACATAACATAGCACAGTATAACAACATAACATACCACATTATAACATAGCACTGTATAACAACATACCACATTATAACATTGCATAGTGTAACAACATACACATCATAACATAGCACAGTATAACAACATAGCACATTATAACATACCACATTATGACATTGCACAGTATAACAACATAACACATTATAACATTGCACAGTATAACAACGATCGTAAATTGCATGCGCTTGTGTCGATCATTAGGCATCGGCCACTTTGATCGCAAAGAGCGCGCATCAGTGTTGATCATTGGGCATCGGCTATATAGATCGTAAAGCACGTGTGTTTGTGACGATCGCCAGGCATCAATCGTAAAGTACGTGTGTCTGTGTCAATCATGCAGCATTGGCTAGGGTTACACTTCCGTTTTTAGCAAGCATATTGGCAACTTTCTTCCCTGGCGTACTGGCATATATCCCAAAACAAACCTCCAACATACACGCTGCACCTTCCTGACCATGGCACCAGTGGCTGCAATGTTCTTAAAATTTTCAGTTTCCAATTAGACAGATGAGGCTGCAAAGCACAATCCGCAATTAAGTAATTTTGGTTGGAATACAATTGTCTATTGCAATACCTAGTGCAGTGGTTCCCAAACTTTTTCAGGACTTCTAGCGCCCCACCAAAAGTCCAACACATATAAAAACAAGCCTCTTTTTTTCAAATTTAGTATGCTGCATTTTAAAATATAAAGGTTAAACACAAATGTGTATTTCACAAATAGAACCCCATTTAGTGAACCAATGTTTTTAAGCTGTTTTAACTGTTCCAGCACTAGAAACTTAGGAGGTCTTGCCGGTCTCGGGCAAATTTCTGGCCAGACTCGTGGCCGGTCGGACGACCAATCTCCAAATTCAATTATCAAGTTATATCTCCCAAACTAATAAATGAAGCTCTATGAAACTTGCAACATGTATTCATCAGAACCTAACGGTGATTTTTAGCTTGTAAAAAAATTTAAATTTCACCTTCATTCGTTAGTTATATAGCAATAAAGGCCAAAATTTGCAGTAATCAAAGAATTTCTTCCAAACTGCTGAACAGATTTGAACAAGATTTGGAATATACATTCCTAACTACCTAACAGTGATTATTTAGCTTCTAAAAAATTTTTTTGATTTTACCTTCGTTTGCAAGTTTTTTTATTTTCATTTCATTGTCATTCTTGATTCCACACTTCCTTATATTTGGCCCGTATTGCCATATAATTTGTTGCTTAAATTTGCGGCGATCAACAAATTTCTTCTAAACTACTGAACAGATTCAACAAAACTTTGTACCTACATAAATACCTAACCTCCCTACGGTGATGTTTAGCTTGTGACAATTTTTCTATTTGCTTTCGTTCGCGAGTTTTACAGATATAGGAGGAACAACCGGCTTTTCTACCAACCAGTTTAACAAAGAGCTGTTTACGTATAGCTGTATAACTTGCAAATGAAGGCAAAACGAAAAAATTGTAGTGAGCTAATTATCACCATTGCTGAGGTTACTGTAGGTATTTAAATACTAAATTTCATTCAAATCAATTCAGTAGTTTTGGAAGAAATTTCTTGATTACCGGTACTGCGAATTTGATCACCTATTGCTGTTTAAATCACAAATGAAGGTGGTATGAAAAAAAACTCACAAATAAAGGCACAATCAAATAAAATATAAATTTTTACAAGCTAAACATTACCATTTGGTAGTTAGGTCTGTAAATTCAAAATTTTGTTTGAATCTGTTCAATAGCTTGGAAGAAATTCCTTGATCACTGTGAATTTAGGCCCATATTGCCATATAACTATGGCAAAAACAAAAGAAGGCAAAATTAAAAAAAATTTCACAAGCTAAACATTACTGTTAGGTCCTAATGAATATGTGTACCAAGTTTCATCAAGTTAAGTTCATTAGTTTGAGAGATATTCCTTGATCTTTGAATTTGGAAATTGGCCTTGAGACCGGCCGCGAGTCAGGCCATTAATTTGTCTGGCCTAAAAAACCATTGCTGGGAGTCATGAGGTGCTGCACGTGTTGTGTACAAATCGTCAAACAAACGTTGGAACTTCTGACTTTGACTTCGGACTGCTGCCCCCCCCCCTACCGCCCCCCAAATGCCTTCTTCCTTACCGCCCCCAAAATCTTTCTTTTCCTTGGGGGGGGAAATATTGCCCACTTTGGGAACCACTGACCTAGCGGCTAGCGCTAGCTTCCTAGGGTGTTAAAGATAAACTTGTCAAAATTAGTTTTGTAAGAATTTAGCTAAAAACAATATTTGCAATCATGCTGGAATTCTAGGATATGGTTGGTCAGTTAAATCCACCAGGACGGCGGCAGGCATGGAATATATCTACTTGGCAATCCGTGACAGGATTTTTCAAGCTGTGGTTTCATTGGTTTGCCAGCTGTGAATTCCATATTTTGGCCTTGAAAAGCCATTTACAAGCCGCAAACTTATTTTCAAAGTCCCGTGCATGTGTTACCTGAAATCTCTAATTTTATCCTGAAAACAGTTATCGAACAGCAACTCTAACATTTGTCTTCACTTGAGTGGCAACTGAACACATGATACCTATTGCAATCTGATAGGAAACAATTTGGATGTTGAAACAACATGGTTGCAATGTGCAAACAATGATTTTTTCAATCAATCAAAAATACATGACTTTATAGCTGCAAGATATCGTACCTACGTAGGTACTGAAGTTATATGATATTAGAGCCGTAATATTTCAGAAAAAATAGGACTTTTCAAGCCTTGGACTGTGGGAGTGCTCCAATGCTACTCACTTTAGGAGGGGGAGGGGTGCAATTTGAAATCCCTCCAAGAGTGCTATAAGCTATTTGTTGAAGATGGGACACGTATTTCTTGCTGAAAAGGCAGTTATTTGGGTGCTGGAGTGCAGTAATGCACTCGTCCAGGCCATTCTGCTCCCAGAAACCCACCAGCAATGTCATCATGCAGAGGTGCTAGATGCACAACATTAACTGACCAACAATTTCTTAAAATCAATGTTGATACATTCAAAATGTTAATATTATTTTTACTTACTAAACCATCCTTTTGATCTACCAACATCATCTAAAGGATCATTAAAACCCTTGAAAATTTTATTGCATTCTCTGGACATAAATTATATGTGCACAAACAAGTTATGTGGGTATACTTGCATCAGTTTCAACTTTCATGTTGACCCTACTGATGGCTTGTTGTAATACACTTAGACTACTGAGCCATTGTATATTGTGCCAATAATTTTGGCAATAACTAACTTGATAGGAACTGTTCTGAAATGAAAACATTCTGAAAAACTATCTATAATATGAACCTTCAGACTAAGGCAGCCTAAATTTGAGATATTGCACTATGAGCAGAAAACTTGAGTATTTACAAACAAAATAATACCTTGTTCACAAATTAATTCTTATCTGTTGCTGTAAACAAACTATTGAAGTGAAGTGTCTCTGACATCAAACTTGTGTTTCAACTTTTTGTCTTCATTTTATACAAATATGACCTGTATCATGTATGAACATTGTTCCTGTATGGTAGCTATTGCTATTTGACATATCTGGCATTTAGCTGATGCAACTTCCTTGCTTTGAACTTCATATGGTTTTCATTTCCGGGATTGTGCTGTAAAGTTCAGTTTTAACTCATCTGTTATTTTGCGCATCAAGTAAATTTAGTGGCAATTTATTTTGCAGCCTAATGCACCTGCAGAGTTCAATAACAGGCATACAAATCCATCCAATATCACATTTTTCCCCCTTAGGCGCACTGACCAGAAAATTTTGCCCTTTCCAAACTTCCAATGCAAGATTGGAAAATTTTTAGTTATTGCAAAAATCTTCTGGCTCCCAAGTGATGGATTTTAGAAAAACTGGAAATCTCATGGTGGCTTAAATTTGTGAAAAATTAGATAAGATTCATCAAGCGGCAATCTCATGGGTGTGAAAATCTTTGAAAAGATTTTACTGTTATATATCTGTTGGGAGCAGAGATGGGTGATGGCTCCCTAGGTCATACCACAGGTAGGTATCACGAGGCTTTTATCTTATCTCACCAAGAGTTGGTATTAACTTGTTGTAATGGGCTAAGCAAGATGTCCTCTATGAATGCATAAGCTTTAAAATACCTAGTACATGAATACAACTATAAAAATGCCTAAAATGACTACCATGTGGAGTTGTATTGGGAAAAGCAGACAAAGCTAAGCAAAAAAGGAAATCTAATGTGTCTAATTCAGGGTTGAATTCTCAAATAGAGGTCCACCCATTATCAATTTATTCAATATTCTTACCCTGAGCACTTTACTTCCATTCTTTATAAATTATGACTTGAAATAAGCTCTGTCTATTTCTTGAAAGTCATGAATTTTTTGTAAATAAAATTTGAGTCTTACATGGAATTTACTTTTCAATGCTTATCTTAATGTGTTTCAATTTTTATTAATTACAGGAAGTGGTTGTTTTAAAAAAAGTCTTGTTGCTTATCTAAGAGCAATCTAAATATCAAGCTAGTTTTACTTGCTACAAATAAAAGATATGCTCTGCAGCCTGTTGTCTTCTTGAACAGTAAAGAATGCCAGGCACTGCACCTGTGTCAAGTGTCCAAATGGATAACACAGAAACCCAAGGTCTTGCTGCTGATGATGGAGATGGAGAGGCCAACATGAGCATTGCTTCCCATATCTTTGGGACAGTGGGTGGGGTGTCTGGCTTTGGTGATTTTGACAGCCCTGCTACTGTCCCTTCTGATGGCCTGCTTGCTGACATTGAAGGCATGCGGTCTCATTCTAGGCTCTCACGGCAAGAAATAAGTGAGGTGAGGTATTTACTAAATGATCAAATTATGTCTTTACTATATAGTAATTAATTCAGTTGTAATTTATTAATTAGTTATTTAAATGTATGTTGTCATCTTATTGATTTTGCATTACGATCATAGGAGATTATTTTTGAAAATTTCAGAAAAAAATTATACAAATTTCTTTGGTTGTAACCACATTTTTATAAACTGATATGGTTCTCTATACTTTGCATCTGGAGAACATCAATGCATTTTGTATACTTTCATCCCTGTATCATTGAGAAAACTCAATTGTTGAGGGACATAGTTGATTTTCTAAAAATTGTTTTCACTATATATGAAATGTTTCAAGGGTAAGATTGAATTAATATTTTTTAGAGGAAAAGTTTTGAAAAGAGTAGATGCAAGTATGTGTAGTAGATACAAGCATTGAATTTCTATTCAAATAACTAATGCTAGTATCTATATCTGTCTTGCATGCTTCACTAGTGGTTACAAAGAATTGTACTTTACAGCTCCGTCATAGACTGTTGAGCAATGCAGTTCCCAGCCCATCCAACCTTCCATTAGACTTCAGTCAGCTCAACATGAACGACTTGCATGGAGGCAATGAGAAGAGGGAGCAGAGTGAGCAGCGGCGTGATAGTCTGGAGCTGCCGGGACCAGCAATCCCTCACTGGATGCACAACCGGCCCTATGGCTCACTTGACTTCATTGCATCCGACAGGAACCCTGAAGATGTTGGACCTCTAGGTGCATTTTCCGAGGGGAAAACTTTGCCGTTGAAATTTACAATTAAGGCAATGAATTTTATCTTGTGTGAATTGTCATTTTAGCTTGATTTTGAAATTTTGTTGCATCTATCCTTCACTTCAACAAAATAAAAGTCAATATTCATATATGTTTGTATTTGATGGTATAAGCCAAAGTTAAGCTTGCAGTGTTGGAAGATATTTCATTCTGCTTTCTTCATGTAATTTTGAATGAAATACTATCTCCATTAGTTAGGCAGCATATATTTGATCCCACCAATTCATGATTATATAATGGTCATATTGCAGTTTGTGTGATCAAAGTCAGCATCAACTTCAGTGAAGTCCAGGGTATTGAGTCTCACTTATTTACATTTTTCAGAGCAATCCATGGTAATAAAGTTCATGGAACCAAATTCAAGATCACGCATTCAATTGTTATCTGAATTTGGAATTACCTACTATCTCATGATCAAATGCAATATATTTCAAAAAGATGTCCCCTTCTCTGAGGTTACCGGTACTCAAAATGTTCCAGCATTGCAAAGCCTTGCCAGATGCACCTGAATAAAACAATTCCAAATTGATGCATTTGTTTTAGAAATTTTACCTTACTCTGCTTATAAGACTATTTATTATAAACAATTTCCGAACAAGCTACTACAAGAAACTTTTCTGCATTCTCTCATTTAATAGTGATATTGGGCTCATCTCTTTACAGTGTTCTCTGCGTGTGACTTATGAACGTTTTTGTTACACATGTCATTTGCCTTTTGTGTTCTACTAACATTGCTTTTTCATGAGCATTAATTTCTGATCAGAGTTCTGAAATTTTAATACCAAATGCATCAGAAGTAGGTAATTAACATGTTGCAGCATAAATTTAAGTAGTTATTTTTGAGATTCATTCCTCTAAATTTTTGACCAGTTCTCAAGTTAATGAAACATCCTCTAATAATAATTTAATGTTACAGGAGATGTGGCTGTTAGTAGTCAGGAGCAGCAGCTGCTGGAGGACGTGCTCAGTGTGATGACCGGCATTGAAGGCACCTACATCACCCTCAGCAAGCAACCTCCTAACCCTGACCTTGGCCTTTATCGTACCTTTGTCGTAGACTCTAGTGTTGGTGAGTCCAGCTGAAATAAATTTGGAAATCGTGAACAAATTACTGTTCATTACAAGTTTTATTGGGTGTTATTTGTGGACTTGATAAATAGAAATGAAATTGCTTTCATAGCTTTACCGATATGAACCATACCTTTTTTCTAAACTTTTACTGAGCATTTGCCTGAAATTTTGAGCTTTATTTTTTTGAAGAAGTTTAGCAGTTAACCTGCTTCTTTAATTTTTTATTTATTCTACATTTTATTTAGCATTTAATAATTCTATAGTATCCATCACTGCCCCTCTGAATCATTGCCTGTAACATTTAAGCCCATGTAATTAACAGCTGTCAATTTACTGCCAGCAAGTGGTCATTATCTGAAACAGGAAATTTCCCAGCTGTAAAAACAACCACGCGAGTTTTACTCTTCATGTTCCAATTATTTGTGTACGCAATTATAGATTTCACATACCATTTTTAGTTAGGCAATCTTTTATTGTCTTCTGTGTATATGGACAACCATGTGAGTAATGGAGGTCCATTATTTACCACACATTTTCAAATGAATTACGTATTTAAAATATTTGTAATGCAATGTGTCCATTTCAGAGAAATCAGTGCAGGCGTTGGTGCAGAAAGTATTACCGGTGTGCTCTCAGTACGCTCAGCTTGTGCGCTTCATAGAGGACCATTCGGAGCACCACAAAGGGCTGGTGAACCACGCACTTGCTGCCGCCCTCACCACGCTGCTCAAGGACTATCTTGTGAGCGCTCAACTATTGCTCTGCTCTGCCTAGTCATTCACTAAAAAATTGATGTGGCATTGTGTCCATATGGTGACACAATCGTTTGTGAGCGCTCAACTATTGCTCTGTTCTGCCGAGTCATTTACTCAGGAAATGAATGTGTCATGGTCTCCAAATAGTGACACACTTTTGTGAGCGCTCAAATATTGCTCTGCTCTGCCTAGTCATTTACTCAAGAAATGAATGTGTCATGGTCTGAAAATAGTGACACACTTTCTTAACCAAAGCACGAGCAGAGAGCTGACGTAGCACTGTTTCGCCCTTTTGTCAAACTGGGTCATGATGTCCCACACACGTGCAATAAGTGCATTGCTAATGGGACAGAGTCACGCTCATCTCTCTGAGTATATATGCAGGTTCCTTCACACTGGCTTCTCAGTATTATTATCACCACATTCTACACAAAAGTATATAATGTGATGGTATTAAATTATATACCAAAGCCACGTATCTCTCAATATAATTGTGATGCCATTCTCTTTAGAGTAAGTTTATTTATTTTGCTCAACGGTTTCATTCATACTAGTAGATGAGATTGTTATTTTCCCACTTATTATTCGTATTTGATCTTTATAAATGTTTGAAACTTTTACCCAACAAAAATCATTAATTTCAAGCTAATAACAATATTCATAACCCTATCGCTCAGAAATAGGTCAACAAAAATTCATAGTTGGAACAAATTTGATCACTGGAACTTTGGTGTCCCCATATTTTCAGTTATTTTCTATAAAAGAATTTTCATTAACTTACATGGCTGGACAACCATGTCACCAGTTGAGTTTGCTGACGGCTGATTTCTTCTCAAGATTGAAATTACTCCCCATGAGAGGAATCATAAAATCTCCTAAAATGGTTTTTGCTTTTATGTACGTAACGTCTCACTTGAACTGCTAGTAAATAAGCATTATTGTGAAAAAACTTGCAGTACAGAATCCAAACGTTTTTTCTGTTGCTTTGTTGAATGAAAAGTTGAAATTTCGTCATTGGGAGGTGTCTGAGAGCGTGTTTTAGTTTTTTGTTTTCTATCATATCATGAAATTGTTCTTATCATTTCATGCTACGACAGTTGCTGGTGCTGCAGCTGGAGTCGCAGCTGCGCAGCGGGGTGCTCACCCTGCACAGGTTGTGGTTCTATGTCGAGAAGACGGCGCCTGTCATGGATTTACTTGCGTCTATCACAGCCGAAATCACCAAGGTGCAGCTTTTGAATATGTCTGTTAAATTACCTGCTCATTTGTGTGGAACAAGGTGGAATAATATGCTATACAGGCGGGAATAAATCTCTTTTTTAATTGAAAAAGAAAATATTGTGTGTCAATTTTTCATGAGTAACATCAGTAGACCTGGCATGTAGTGAAAAAAAACGAAATGTAGCTGACCATACTTAGGAAATCTGACCATAATCTTCATTTTAATATGCCACTTTTTACAATAATCTTTATTTTAACAAGCCGCATTACATACTAATAAGAATTCAGGATCAATATCAACATTCCTTGCAGAATGGAAAACTAAATGGGTGATAAAATTTAGTGTTCGCTAGTATCCTTAAATTATCCATAGTCCACGCTACTTTTTCATCATCCAACTAAGCTTGTCTATCTCAATGATTTTGTAATGGTCGACAACTTTTCCTGTTAATATTTCACAAGCATTGCCGACAATTTTAATCATTAATTAAGTTTATACCAATCTGGGTTTTGCACTAACATTATCAATTTTTTATAAATTTTTTCATCGGATTTTATAGACAGGAGCGCGCGGCGGAGCGGTTCTGTCGCTGCTGCAGGCTCGCGTGGAGAGCCTGACGGGGTGTGGTAAACTGCAGGAGTTGGCCGTGTACCTCGCAACCGCTGCAGCACAGCCTTACCTGGACTGCCTTGCTGCATGGATATCACGAGGACACATTAAAGATCCTTATGCCGAAGTGCGTGGTTAGGTCCTAATTTATTGGTAATGTAAGTCGCAGTGGTTAGGCTCTGATTAGGAACATCAGCTATTCTCTGACCATTGACACATAAGATACGTACTCATGCAGAAGTGCGTTGTTTGGTTATTTTACAGTTATAGGGACAAAGTTTACAGTTAACAGACAAAATCTTATGAAGAAGTCATTAGGAGGTCATTGTGCAGTTAAATATTTGGAACATGAGCAATTTTTATTCTCGTGGCCAATATAAGCTGTTCACTCTGTTACTGAGGAGATACTCCACTTCGTTGTGTCCAATAGAATCTCTAAACGCACCGTCAATAATAAAAGTAAAATTTTGTCAGTTTTTTTACATCTAATACCTGCATAATCCACCTAAAAACATTCAACAAACTCATGTCCAAATATTAATTTGTCGTTTTGACGTCCAAATGTCCTTAATAATCTAATATTTAATTTTAAGGCAGTATGCATTCGCGAAAAAAAGTGTATGTGCTATTTTTTCGTTTAAATTCCATCTGCTCATGACTAGATTCATTTGCTCATGCTCAGTGAAAATCGTAACATTTTGGGATGGAGCTCATGTGTGAAGAATTTATTATCTATTACAAGGGTTAAAGTTATAACAGATTGTGTTCTCTTTACTGCTTTTGTTTCTGTATTTAAGTAATGAAAAATATTGTTTCTAAAAAGTGGCTTATTAGTATTATTAAAATTGATTGGTCTTCCCTTGAGTTTTATGTTGCGTTATAGCTTTTTCAAATCAAACTTATGCTGTATGGGCTGCATTGCTTGAATTTGGAATCTTCGGCCAAAGAATTTTCTTTCTGACTCCACGCTCCTCTGTATCAAATCAACTCATATCCTCTATTGCGTCCTATCCACGTAATTTCTCAATGTATCCTGCAATCACAATGTTTCCAACAAGTGTTCTATAGGGTTTTTTACCTGATGATCCATAACCTAAGTCACGTGGATTTGAGCCTCATGTAACAACTAAACATATTTTCATGGGTAATATTCTTTCAGTTCATGGTACAAAGCAACGAGCAGTGCACTGACAATGAAGATAACGTTGATGAGGCTGCAGATCAAGATGACAGCGACGACAACAAAGGTTTGTCTTCTGTTCTACCGATTTTTCTCTTAAACTTGATGTGCAATCAATTTAGGAGCAGGAGGATGCAAAGGATAAAAAAAGTAGAAAAAATATATTCTTAATTGTGTTTTGGGAAATTCTTTTGTTCAAAAAATATTCAATATTCAAAATATTGCATTCTCCTCGAGAGGTGTTCTTCCTTAGCAGCATCAATAGAGCTGTAATTTTGATGCCGCTTTGGTAATGCTGCACATGAAATATCATCAAAATTTAAAATAAAATATCCTCTAAGTCTCAACTGCAAGTTTTTAAGTTGATGTTGAAACTCTAATCAACAAATGATAAATTTGATAAATTAATCTTACCTTACAGAGGGCAATGTAGACACGTACTGGCAGTGGAGGTACACACTGGAGCCCAGCAACACCCCCAGCTTCCTAACCTCTTACGCCGACCTCATCCTGCGCACCGGCAAATATCTCAACGTCATCAAACAGTCTGGTGAGACGCATGCCTAATCAACTTTCCTCTCGATCTCGTTAGATCAAATGCACATTTTTCTTTCAATGTTCTATTTTCAATGTTTCTTGAGCACCCGTCATGCTCTAAAACACGAGTGAGCTTGGTAAAAATATTATAAATCTTACCTAAGAAATCAAATAGATTCCATTCATATTGAATCTTTACTGTTCTATACCTACACTCAATGAAACTGATGGGTCATATTGTCCAAATAGTGAAGTACTTGCTGCATTTAGCACTGATGCGTCTTTTTTTCCGCGCCAAACTTGGAGAAGATGATCCATACCAGGCTAAAAAATGTACATTGTTATTTGGACAAAAAGTTTTTTATTTTTCTGAGTGTACTCTCGACGCTGATGCTGTGTTTGTTTACAGCGTCTGGTGGCCGTGCAGGGGCAAGCAGCGCGCCCCTACAGCTGCGTTACAGCCCCGACCCTGAGCACTACAGCGCCAGCATCGAGACAGCCTACGCTGCTGCCTCCAAGACCCTCCTGCATCACCTCATTGACGACCAGCATCTTCTCAGCCGCATCAGGTCACTGCCTATCTCATATATACTGCCTTTATTTAATAATATTCAATGCACCAAGAAATATCTGTTCACCAATGAAAAGATTACGCGCTTATGATTAATGAGCGTCCTTTGGAATAATGTCTGCACTTTTCTAAGTATTAGGTGCTCCTAAGATCTTAGGACTTTTCTATCTCAGTCTTTGTTTAGATCGCTTGGAAACTTTTTAATTAATTTATATGTCATGAATCCCTTTTCTGTTTCCTTGTTCATTACTTGGTTTTTCTTCTTCTCATGAAACGATAGTTATTCATTTAATATTGATGTAGCATTTGATTGAAAAGATTAATTTCTACTATTCTATGTTTAGAAGGCACTGGCTGTATTGCCCAGAAAATATTATGCTATTGAATGTCACTCGGACACCAAACTTTTTTAAAGTGCAAACTTGCGTAAAAAGGTACCTAGCTCAAGTTGAGTTGGATTGTCTCTTAGCTCCAAGCCTGCCTCTAAACCTGAAACTGACGCATGATTTGGTGTGATGATTCGAGACTCTCTTTTCAGTTGCACCTGCAACCTTCTTTGCTCATTTTTGTGCTCAATTATTACGTTGCTCTTGTTAGACTACTGCTCTTGCTTGGAATATTGGAATAATTTACTTGACGGGGAAATTTACGAAGCTGCCAATATCCTTGGAGTTACTTGAAACTTGAGCTTATTGTTTAAAAGACAATTCATGTTTACAAATGCTAAATTTGTTGTTTTTTAGAGTTTCCAATGTTTCTCAAGGGGGCTATGACTTTATGCTATTCAAACCGAGTCTTCTAATAACCATGTATAAATTGTTTATACCATCTTGAATTGGTCGAGAATATCCTGCTATACCGAACCCAATAGACTAATGAATGTTATTTATTAATCCTAAAAATATTCCTAACTGATTCACAGGTCTCTGAAGCAATACTTCTTGCTGGCACAAGGCGACTTCATCTCTCAGCTGCTGAGCATGTGTGAGTCGGAGCTGAGCAAGCCTTTGGACGACGTGCTGCCTCACAGGCTTGAATTCCTGCTCGAGCTCGCGCTGCGCACCAGCAACGGCGCTGGCTACCAGGACTCCATCCACACCGTCCTCTTGCCATACACATTACTTGACCAGATGATGCGTATACTAAGGTTTGTACATGAATTTTGCTATCCTTTGCTTGTGAAATCAGTGTTAGAATTTTAATCTTAGTTTTATTTATTTGCTTACGCATCAAACACTGAGTTTTCAAATCCAATTGTATATATTTCATGCTGATCTAGTTTGTGTGTCTAGTCTTTTTATCGCATTTTCTCATTTATGGCAAAAATACATGACGAGCGCTATTGTGCTCGTCATGTCCGTCTGTCTGTCTGTCCGTCCGTGACTTCACATTTTTGTCGACGAGAAAATGCGCTCTCTGTCACTCACTGCAGTGAGTACTGAGTTATATTTTTTCCAAGTATAGTTTGACTTTTCATCATCGAAGAATATATTCAATAAATCCTGCTTATGAGCTTCCTTATTACTTCTCGAGTTTGATTCTGTATTTTGTGTGTGAAGCATAGAGACGACAGAGGAGCAGGAGCATCGGCAGGCGCTGAGTCGACTTGACTTGACTGGCATCGAAGGCTTCAGTTTGTCATGCAGTGTGCCGTGGCCGGCCTCCCTGGTGCTCGATACACGCACGCTCTTCTGCTATAGGATGCTCTTCAGGCATCTCTTCTACTGTAAACATGTCGAGAGACAGCTCTGCAAGTGCGTTAAGTTATGGGGGCAAATATATTTGCTGTGGTGAGACAGCTGTGCAAGTGTGTCATGTTGCGTTAAGTTGTGGGGGGGCAAGTATATTTACCGATGTGAGACAGCTGTACAAATGCGTCTGGAAATTGTGTCCTATATTTTCAGTTTTTTGTGCGTTTTTTTTTTTTTTTGCAAGAACGGCAGCTTTTGCAGGCAGCCTGACGCATGGGCTTCATGCTATGTGTCACATTACAAGAACAAATCAGTCATCATAGAGGCTGTAACTTGAAAAAATGTAACATAACGAATGAAAATTCATTTAATAAATCCTAGTATGTTTTTTGTTTCAGGGTGTGGCTGAGCAATCAGGCGTGTAAAGGCCTGCCAATGAGCACCCGTCGTAGCTACACAGCAGCGTTCTTGCTGCGCCATCGCATGCTGGCGTTCATGCAGAACATCGAATACTACATGATGTTTGAGGTCATCGAGCGACACTGGCATCAGTTCCTGGCGGACATGAACAAGGTTTCTTTCTTATCTATCTTCATTGTGATAACTTGTTGTCGATACTATCATTACTGGCGCGCCATTGATACTACTATCATTACTGGTGCACCACTGATACTACTATCATTACTGGTGCACCACTGATACTACTATCATTACTGGTAAAACATTCATACTACTATCATTACTGGCGCACCACTGATACTACTATCATTACTGGTGCACCACTGATACTACTATCATTACTGGTGCACCACTGATACTACTATCATCACTGGTAAGACATTCATGCCACTATCATTACTGGTGCACCACTGATACTACTATCATTACTTGTGCACCATTGATACTACTATCATTACTGGTGCAGCATTGATGCTACTATCATTACTGGTGCACCATTGATGCTACCATCATTGCTGTTGTTATCATGGCGTCTCGTGCCCGCAGGTTGAGAGCGTGGACGAGCTGCTGCAGCATCAGTCCCACTTCCTGGACAAGTGCATGAAGGATGGACTGCTGACCACCCCTGACCTCCTCAGGACCCTCACTAAGATCATCGGCATCTGTGCTTCCTTTGCCAGCTTCATCCTTGTGAGTCACACCTCATATCCTTGTGAGATACATATCATATCCTAGTTACATGTCATCCTTGTGAGTTACACCTCATATCCTAGTTACATATCGTCATTGTGAGTTACANCCTTGTGAGTTACATATCATCCTTGTGAGTTACACCTCATATCAACATTGTTAGTTACACCTCAGGAAAATCAGTGTGACGCTCACATATTGCGCCTCAGCGCAAGAATTGGGCTACAGTTTTAGTCCGCATTATGAACTCTTCAAGCCTAACTGTTTTCACCCCAGTGGGATATTCTGTTTAATGATAATCTCAATGATTTTCCTGTTAAATTTGCGTTCATCCATCCACATTTATATTTCGCGACCATCGCGACGGAAAACTGGGGCTTAGAGCAAAGGCACAACAGTGACTAAAATTTTATTGAAAAACTTTAAACTCCGCTCCGATTATATCTTGATATCATTGCAAGCAATTTTTGGGTACGAGGCTTTCAAGGTTCCTGAATCCCATGTGCGCAATTCTCTCATATTTATCTATTTAATATAAGATAAATATTGTTAATTTGTGGCTAACAGCGCAGCCAGAAGATACAGGAAGGCGCTGAACTTTCCCCGACTGGAGAAGACGATCTCGAGGCACAGGTACCGCGTTTGCCCTCCACGTGCATGATTACTTCCTCGTTCAGCCGTATTTGTTTTTTGTTTGAACTCTGCCAAGCTAAAAAGTTTATTTATTTCAAATAAACTTGAGTTGCGTACTCCCCAGTTTTTTTTTAAACAATATTGAAGTTAACCATCTTGCGCCTTGAAAATTCTCTTCCCGATACTCATGAATTTTGATGTGAAAGGGTCCTTTACATCTGGTGCTTTTCGTGCGTATTTTATAATTTTTGTAAATTTCTGCGTTTCTGATTATTTTTTTTTTTTTGCTGAATGTATTGGAGGCTTCTTCTCATGACACTTCTTAGCCCTCTGGTAGATTTTTTCCTTTGTATTTTTTTAGAAAATTGCTTGCTTGTAGCGTCCAATCAACTCTGTATTAGGTTGCTATGTATCTCTTGGTGAAAAAGTTTTGGTTTCGTTTGCAAGAGGTTTGGATTTTTGAGTTATTAGTAATGTATCATATCATTCTATCGTCTCCATTCAGGGCATTTGCACGCACCGTGAACTCTCCATTCAACGTTGCATCAGATTCTACCATACTTACGTGAAATTAGAATCATAAGAAGCACCCAAGAGAGTCGTCACATTGTCTCTTTAGTGTCTTATCATTATTGGTTATTATTTTCATCATTGTCTTTTTTTTTGCGCTCATCATTGTCTAATCTTTCCTCTCCTTAACTTTAGATACGAAATTTTCAATCGCATTTCGAAGCAGGCATGTTTCTAGGTCAAAAGAATTATTTCATATTGACTTATTAATTGAAAATTCATGCCTGTATCTTCTGTGATTTCTTGGCAGTTTTTGTGTTCCTGAAACTTTGGCATCGAATTTATCTGTTTTGTTTTTTGATGATGTTGATTTTCGTTTTATAATGTTTGTTGTTCCGTTGTATTTTGTATACAGTGAATTTATTATTCTCAATGTTACTAATCCGATTCATCCAGTTCTTTTAAGTTAAAACTATCGTCAGAAAATATATGTCGCTTAGAAACCGTTGGAACAGGCCTTATTGTTACAGAAAGCGTCGTAACAGGCCGCATTGTTACAGAAAGCGTTGTAACAGGCCGCATTGTTACAGAAAGCGTTGTAACAGGTCGCATTGTTACAGAAGGCGTCTTTAACAGGCCTTATTGTTACAGAAAGCGTTGTAACAGGCCGCATTGTTACAGAAAGCATTGTTACAGAAGGCGTCTTTAACAGGCCGCATTGTTACAGAAAGCGTCTTAACAGTCAGCATTGAAATAAAATGCGTCTTAACTGGCTGCGCTATTGCAGGAAGTATCTTAACATCTGCATTGTTACATAAGCATCTAACAGTCTACATTGTTACAGAAAGCTAACCCAGCGTACGAAGAAACGGTCCCGAGCGCCAGCGAGAGTTTCGAGCAAACCATCGCCCGCTACGACATCCAGTTTAATGGCATGCTGGTCACCCTCATGGACAAGGTGGCCGACCTCGGCAGGCAGGACTATACTGACGCTATCATCAACATCCTCTACCGGTTAGTATTACAGACTTGTTTTCTTAAATGCATTCAAAGTGAGACCTGTAAATGATTCCGATGGTTTGGAAAACGGTTCCAATGTTCTTGGGAAAATGGGTCCCTTGGCCTCGGGGAAATGTGGTCCCAATGGCCGCAAGGAGGATTGTTCCAATGGTCTTGGCGAAAATGGCTTCAATGGCCGCTGGGAAAATGGTCCAATGGCCTCGACGAAAATGTCCCAATGGCCTCGGGGGAAATCGTTCTAATGGTCTCGCTGAAAATAGTTCCAATGGCATCGGGAGAAATCGTTCCAGAGGCCTCTTGGAAGTTGGTTCCAATGGCCTTATGAAAATGGTACCAGACAGAAATCTGTTTGCGTAGAGATCGCTTTCATCTATTGAATTGAATCCCTTTGCAGTGCATACGCTCTCTCTGATGAAGTATATCAGCTGCCTTGCATCACTGTACGAAAATACTTCTGTGCTACAGCTTGCAATATCTCGTCCTTCCTATTTGTAAACAATTTTTCCTACGGTTTATACAATTATAATTCTATAATAAGTTTTCCTATGTTCTATCTATCCCCATTGCCATTTGAATGGAACGTCTTGTGATGTGTAATGTTCATGGCCCAGGTTGGACTTCAACAAATACTACAGCAGCCGCGACGACGCACTCACCAATCTGGGCGAGTGTTCGATGCAGGCCGCCCCCGTGGACGACCACGAGCAGGACGGTAACGGCAAGTTATAGATCTAAGTCTTAACTATCATAACTCGCTCGAGAACACTTAGCTGCCTAAGTAAGCGTAGCGGCCTAAGTAATCGTAACAGCCAGAGTACATGTAGCGGCCCTTGTACACATAGCGGCCGATTACTCGTCTGTGACGGGTGGGATTAGGTTGAAACTCCGTCAGTTATTGGCTGATAGAGTTACAAGATCGTAACTACCCATATTTGATAACACGACCCCTGAATACTTCCACTCCTTGTGGCACTGCAGTGAAGGTTTAAAAATCTAATGTGTTGTTTGAATCTATTCATTTTCCATTATTTGCACTCTCGTTTTCATCAAATTATTTCCAAATGAAGTATATGCCCCAATTGTTTTATATTTCTTAAAAACTTCCAAGAATATTTGTGCCATTCTGTAAAAATTTTTTTTTAGAAGCATGGAATTTTCAGCTTGAATGTTCTTTTTGTACTAGCTTTGAACACCATTCAAGAGGAAAATTTTTTCTTATATTTCTCTAAATTATATTGTGTGTTTTGGAGACTTTTATTTTCGCTGCCTAAAGTGCACTGCGTTCAGGATTTTATTATCTATTTTATGCTTGCTAAAGTTCATGTCTACGACACTTATCATATGAGGATATTAGCTGCAAATGAAATTTGATTTTCAATGTAGGAATTATTAGACATTTAATTTTGTGAGAGGAGAGTTGCATTAGAAAATAAAAATATGTTTCTACTGGGGGATTAGTTATGCTATTCTGCATTCACTGTGATGATATTTGTCAAGTATACGAAAACATTTGAACTTAAATTATTATTATTTTTTTTATCGCAAAGGCGCAGCCGGGAGTTCGGTGCAAGGCTGACCCGATCTCAAGTCTGAGCGTCTTCAGAGTGGAGCCATTGCCGACCTCGCACTCTCTCCTCCCTACGAAAATGTCACGTCTTCTTCCTATGAAAATGTCGAGCCCATTCCATTGTACGGTACTTCAAGTGCCGTTCATCCATTCCCTCCTTGTGATGAAGTGATATCTGATCCCTTGCATCATAACTTAGTGGTTGATAATGAACCATCATGCCCCCTCATTAGTGCACCGACCACTGTATCAAACGTTACCGAAGTCACTTCCCATGTAGTCCAAGAACTGGCCTCTGTTGATGCCAACTCCCGCTTTGGATCGCATGTCTCTGATATCTCTGCTGATCGCATCGCTGGTAAGAAAGGCAAAGATTTTGGTCCTGACTCGTCACGCACTTCCAATGAAGATCACGTCGTTCTTGAACGGAGTCATAATCATGCATCTCAGTCAACCGGACCTTCTACTAGAGCGAAGGATATGACAATGAAGCGTTCTGGGAGGAAAGAGAAGAATTACAATCTTAGGTCAAGTTTCCCCGGTCCAAGTGTTGAAAAAGTTTTTAAAACCTCCACAACTGGTGCCAAAGACCCCCACCTCTCCCAGGATCGATATATTGCTCGCGAAATGTTCAGTGCTGATTGGAAGAGCGATCCAGATTTGTGTGGTGCCAGGAAGCCGTCTCATGCTGCACCTCAATACTATGATAACTATCGAGCCTCTGCAACTGGTGGTGAGCCAACCATGTATGGGCTGAATTTCGCAGTCACCATGCTCAGCTCGGGGTCTAGTGAGAGACTGTTATGCTACGGTGATAACCTTATGCTTGGTAGCAACTTCAATAAGAAAACTCCAACTACAGCTCGCCACAGATCTCTCGTTTCTAAGAGAACTCCAATCTCATGCCTCGTTGGAGGCTCTACACGCACTGAATTCTCCCCACCTTCCATGCCTGTGTATTCTAATAGCACAAAACAAGGTTTAGGGTCGCAAATAGTTATCGCGAAACAGCCTCGAGCGGCCAATAGTTTGCAGGTCAGCGCAGATACAGAGGACGCCCGTCGTGAAGAAGAGGAACGTAAGATAAAAGAAGCTCAGGACGTGGACCTACTCATCGGTCACATTCCCACTACCTCGGTCCTGCCAGAAGCTAAAACCTTCTTCAGTGGAGCTAACTCAAGCTGTGATGCCTTAGATCTGTGTTATTTGCGAGACAATAAGTCCAACGTTGAGTACACGCTGGTTAGGCGACATCTGTGCTGTGGAAGTTACGCAGGTCCTGAAGAAGATTCTCCTCAAGCCTTCAAGGTGCTCCCGAAGAAAGAAGTCCTGGTGGGCGGGGCTCGTATTAAACGGAAATCTAAATCTGAATGCCAGGTGTCTCAAAAAGAGTTAGGTTTCAAAACTTCATCGTTTTCTCAGTTATTAGCCCCGCAAATGACAGAAGCCAACCCGTTGCCCCCCGTCATTTGCGATGAAGAGGCCCGACCGTACGGTGCAGAAGGTGGCTGTATCCTCACCCAAGACGTGAAACATTCCTCCCGCACATACTCACGAAACCGCACACAGCGAGATACGCTCATTGATCACGATCAGGGCTTCGAGTCACAAGGTCCGCGTCAATTTTATGATTTCAAGGAGCTTGACATTGACCCATCTCAAGCACCTGTACCGCGACCTAGGGATCGAAATTGCGAGGAACGTAAAATTGATATTGAAAATGTTCCCAATGGTCTCCCTGAAGTCGATTGTGCTTCAACTTCAGCCTCCGAAGCCAGCGATAGTTCAGTATTTATTTCTCAGAGAGAGGATGCTCAGACAAAGGAGTTAATGTCTAAAGATGTCCTTGAAAACGACGTTCCGAAATCGGCCTCACCTCTACATTATTTTGAAGAGCCGGTCCTTTATTATGAAGACTCGGCGGTCACCTCAGAGTACTTACGCTTATCAGACTGTTGCCAAGCACTTACTTCAGACGCTGACTATGTCTCGGGTGACGATGTTGGTGATGAAGCTCAGTACGAAGAACTGCCTCACTGCTTGACTGGCATGCCGCATCATAATTATCCTTATGACAGCTATTCAGAAGCTCCCTACAACCTAGTCATGGACAACCCAGTTTATTCTTCATTCGGCCGAGCGCTTTCAAGCCCATCAGACGGTTTTTATGGCTTGTTCTCCGTCGCTTGCACCACCAGCGGGCTAGAAAATTACTATTCATCTGAACTCTCGGAAGACGCGCACTTTATTGTCTCCTCACATGCGAACGCTGAAATGAAACACTTCGATGATCAATACCGCGATTCTTTCAAGCCCAATGCGCTCAAAGTTAAGGGTGCTTTCCGCCAGAAGCTCAACGATATGCTAATTGAAAGCATTGAAAAACGTAAGCAAGAACGTCCATTGTTTTCAATACAACGCGAAAGACATCACCGCAACTCTGTCCCTCGAAGCCAGGGGCATGTGTCGCTTTTAATGAATAGAACCTCGCGAGAACAGCACAAAGGGATGCATGTTATGTTCCAAGATGATGTCCTGGCTACCGACCATCTAATGTCGCCTCTTGAATACTCCCGATCTTCAGTTGCAACTGAACATTTCTCAGAGAGTGCACCACACGCCGGCAGCTCTTTCGTAGGCCGTGAGCTTGAAGACGTACCTTTCTCGTGTCCCGATTTTCGTAGCTCAGCTGTGGATTCATCTCGTGACTATTCTGACCAGCAGCTACATGGCAACAATTTCTCTCGGGATTTACCCGACTACGCCAAGTACTTACCGCGTAATTTTAATTATGAAGAACGGTCTCTAATTACGCCAGTTAGCATTTCGCCTTCTGGAAGCGTTCCAAATGTTTCTGATGGCGAATCTTACCATGAAACTATCGCTACTGCACCCATCGAGCGCCTGCCATTCCAGCCCGGTATTTCAGGGAGCCTGGCAGAGCAGCTGCGGCTGTTGATGCAAGAGGAGAGTTGCCGACTGCGTGAACTGCAACTCGAGAGACAGTTTGCTGTCGATGGCGCTGTTCAACCTTGTAAAATTCACCACAAGGATAACGAGCGGCAGTTACAATCTGAAATTGAAGCCTTGGAAAAGAGCTTGAGCTTGAAAGAATATCAATTGGTATTGCTCGAAGAAATACAGAAAAGAATTCAGATGGGCCAAAATATGAATGGCAATGTTGGGTTTTTGGAGGATAACTCTTACAACGGACGTCATTGCCTCTCATTGAACGAAATAGAATCGTTCAGTGTTGAAGATGATTCTCCTCTCAATGTGCATAAAGCACGATCTGCCCCCATGCTGGCAGCTCCTGCTCGTCCTGCTCGCTTCGTGGATGGAGTGTGTGACGGTAAGCGCATCACTTTGGACCGATCATCTTTGTTCCCTGAACATCAATACGAAAACTGGCCAACCACTTCAGCAGTTTCTGAGTGTCGCCATGTGGTCCATTTTTCTGACTCTACTTCTGTCGACGATCCTCCACGTCCAGCGTCGGAATTATCAACAAGTTTATGGAAGCAGCTGCAGGAGTTGCGGCAGGAGCTCTACCAAGCTGAAGATGTCATTGAACAACGTCTTGAAAGGTGGCATCGCAATGGCCAGGTCAAATGGTCCGAGGAAGAACCCAGCTTTAATGGTCGGCGACATTCAGCTTCCGCTGCTCAGTTATCTTCAAAAAGTGGGTGTATGCCGGATCAAGCATTTTCGGATTGCCCTCTGCACGGTCATAAACAGTTCAGATCTCTCCAACGCACTCACGCCAGTAAAGTCAATGGACTCTCAGAAAACGAGACTGAGACTCCTGATCCTAGCTCGGAACACTCTGGAGTTATTCTTGAACATTCCTCTGATGACTTGGAGCCACGACAATCAACTTCAGGGGACGAGCATCTCGGTTCTGACCGAGGCAATGACCGCAGCACCTCGACGCCCGAGCAGCTTCTTAGTGATAACAATGAGCAAGAACAGCAAGATTCAACGCCCTGTTCCAGTGCCAGTGAATATGTCCCCAGGAAAAAAATACCACTCTACACAGATCATGCTATAGAAAATATTGTTTATAGCTGTAGGGAAGATATTAGGAACGAGTGTGGGAACGACATGCCTTCTGCTGAAATAAATTCCGCTGTTGAGGAGGACTTGCGAGAACAGCCGGTATCACCTACAGTTTTTGATCATGTTTACCAAAACACGTCATGCGGTGCGTTTAACGATCATTTTACCCCCATTTCTACGATCGTGACTGAAGAGTATATCCGTGCAACAGAAGAAGAAAACGCTGGTAATTTCGTTTTCGATCCTGTGAATGGTCTAGTCTTAAGTCGAGAAAGTAATGTTCAATGGCAAGCGCAGTTACATGCCGCGTCTCCGCGAGCTCAAGTTTTAATGGAACTTAAAAAATTGACAAATCAGCTTCACGATACCGAGCTTGCCCTATCAAAAAAATTGGATGACCTGGCTTCAACGATGCCCAAGATGGAGCCGCTGTTTACGCGCGAGGCTATGAAACGCGACCGAAAAGTTGCGTCGGATCGTGAGAGTTGCTGCAGCTCGCACTGCTCCGAGTGTTCGTGCAGCAGCCACACGACTGACTGGAGCCATTCAAGCTCCTCCCGCCGCTCCGACTACCGCAGGAATAGCACGTCGACCGCCCCGAAGCTGCACAAGAATACATCGAAAAAGAAACAACTTGTATCTGCGACTCCAACAGAGGACGGTAATGAGAGCAGCCTTTGCTTTGCTCATATCAAGAAGTTTTGGGACAAATAAGTACAAGGAGGTTCTGTCTTTCAATTTTACTCTATTTCAAGCTAGTGGTTGATATCTTTTCTGATGAAATAGATTCTTTCCTTTATAGGTTATAGTGTTCCTAGTGACCGCTTCGTGTGAAGTAATTGACAAAAGTGTATTGAATCATATGATGAATCTCTTTCATAACAGCAGATGTCATTAAAATAGCCCTTTTCAAAATATTATACTTTTGAAATTACCTCATGAGAAACGAAATCTATATAAGGATAAATGTTATACGTTACG